GTGTGTGTGTTTGTGTGTGTGTGTGTGTGTGTATAGTTTCTATCCTTAATCTGATTTTATGACTTCTCTGTATGTAGGGAGAATATAATCGACCGGCGTATCTCACTGACATTTCGCGAACTGGGACCCGACTTCCGGGAAGGGGAGGTGCAAGCCGAAACAGGCCAGCGAATGCTGGAATTGGCAACCCAATTCGAGGGTGTCTGTGTATGATGGGTGTGTCTGGATATGCTACTGACTGAGACAGCTGTGATGCAGAAGGAATTGCGTCCTATTCTCACCGAAATTTCAATGTACAGATTGAAGTCCGTAACTTGGTCGTGCGCATAACATTTAAGCATTTAAGGAGGCACGCAGTAAAACATAAAATCAAAACTTCAAGCCAAGCACACAAATGTACGAATATGCATCAGTATATTCGCAACCAAGCACATACATGCATAAATATGCAAAAGTATATTCTCGACAAATAGAGCCTGCCTTGTGAGGCTAAGGTTACTAGCGGCTATGTATTTCTATATATAAAAACCTGTTCACTGTGGCTATATTATTTTGTCTTAGACGGCAGGAGTGGCCGAAGGACTTCAGTTACGTAATAGTAAACAATACAAGTACAAGAGGAAAGGTTTGAAAGGAAAGGTTTGAAAATTAGGCCGACCACACTAGGACGATGTGTGGAGTCAAATTGGTATTGTATCATCCATCTTTTAAAAACTCGAATTTGCCGTGACTCAAATCAAGCTTAATAAATGGGATCATTTCAATGTTCCGAGATCTGGACTACAATATCACACACATCCGCGATCAGTTTCGTCGATACACTCATCCTAAACTATTCGTCTCAAAATAGTTCTGCATACATTAGTCGTGTATACATATCGCTCAGTTTTCTAGGATCGTTATGTCGGCAGGAAATTGGACTCCCGTACAAGGGAAGGCAGGTACTATGTACAGAACTTTATTGAGCTCAGTCTGATGGTGTCACATGGTGATTAACCACACTGTCAAGACAACAAGTCCTCGGCGTCTCGCAGCTCGCAAACTTACATTCGACTAAGGCGACATCATGAAAGTGTTCCCCATGTGTTCGTTAATCCCCTGCGGAGTTGGCCTGGACTCCTGACCCGGTTCTTTCGACACCGGCTGGCTTGGTGCACCCTGTGTATTCATACATGAACTCTGAAACGGCGTGGGATTGACACCTGACACGTTTGACGTGTGCTGGCCTGGTCCTCCGAAGAGACCTCTAGTTGAGTTCTCGAACACCGGCGGGTATGAGCGAGAATCGGTGAAGAGCGTGCTCGGCACGTGTTGACTCTGCGGTGCTGGTGTGTTTTGCGAGGGTGTTGGGTATGCCCCGGACTCGTCTGTGGACTGGTTCAGCCCTTGTTGGGGGACCTGCATGCTTGATCCTGCATGGGATGCACTCGACCCCTGATGATTGGGCATCCCAAATGGACTGAAAGGTGCGCTTTGGGCCGACACCGGGGGCCCACCGGATTTGAAAGGTTGTTCGGTAGGCACCGGTTGATTCTCCGTCTCAGTGGGTATGTTCGGCTCCTGATGACTCGGCACTGCAAATGGGGAGAAAGGTGAGGTTTGGAACGACGGCGGAGGTGCATCAGAGTGGCCCAGTTGGCTTTGAGACCCATTTCTGCTCAGTGGATCATTCTCAACCGGCGGTGGGTTCGTACCGAACTCTTGGCTCTGCATGTTGGCCTCGCCATTCGGTGGGTTCGATCCCTGATTGTTCGGCACTCCAAATGGAGCGAACGGTGAGATCTGGAAAGGCATTGGTGGTGCACCAGAGGTGCCCTGTTCGCTTTGTGACCCAGCTGTATTCAGCGAACTGCTATCAAGGGGTGGCTGGTTTGTACCGAACTCTTGGCTCTGCATGCTGGCCTCGCCATTGGGTGGATCCGACCCCTGATTATTCGGCACTGTGAAAGGTGAGCTTTGGAATGATGTCGGTGGTGCACCGGTATTGTATGCAGATTCGTAGGACACCTGTTGATTGTCCGTCTCTGCCGGTGTGTTGGACCCCTGGTAATTGGGCACACCGAACGGTGAGCTTTGCAATGGCGGTGGTGGTGCACCAGAATTGCCCTGTTCGCTTTGTGACCCAGTTGCATGCAGTGGACCATTATCAGGGGGGGGCTGATTTAAACCGGACTCTTGGCTCTGAATGTTGGCCTCGCTATTCGGTGGGTTCGATCCCTGAATGTTCGGCCCTCCAAACGGAGTGAACAGTGAGCTCGGTGGCGGTGCATTAGGATTGTATGCAGATTCGTTGGACACCTGTTGGTTTTCCGCCTCAGTCGGTATGCTTGGCTCCTGATGATTCGGCCCTCCAGATGGAGTGAACGGTGAGCTTTGGAATGGCATTGGTGGTGCACCGGTATTGTATGCAGATTCATTTGCCAACTGTCGATTGTCCGTTTCTGCCGGAATTTGGACCTCTGATAATTCGGCACTCCGAACGGTGAACTCTGGAAAGATGGCGGAGGTGCATCAGAGTGGCCCTGTTGGCTTTGCGACACACTTCTGCTCAGTGGATCACTCTCAACAGGCGGTGGGTATACACCGGACTCTTGGCTCGGCATGTTGGCCTCGCCATTAGCTGGATTCGACTCCTGATTATTCGGTACGCCAAATGGAGTGAACGGTGAACTTTGGAATGACATGGGTTGTGCACCGGT